GCTGCTCCATCCTTTCACAAACAGTACTTTTGTTTTTACTGTACCATGAGATCTTCTTCCTTGCTTGCTAGCTTCTTGTGTTCGTTGTTTAGTGACTCCTCAGCTTGGCTGATCTGCTTCTCTTTTTCTGCAATTCTGAAACACAGAAGGCCCAGTGGACACCTGTGAGCCACCACCTTTGACAAAAGATCGGCAGAAACTGCCCTTACGTCCATCGCAAAAGGACTGATCCTTCACACGGTAGCTCAACCTCACTAAGAACTGCAGTGGAGAACTGACTAGCGGGACTTTGGCATATATATTATATACACAGAATCATGTACATTTTAGGGCCCCAATGTAGAGCCCCGTTCTCCTCATTGTGTCTGTTGACCTCCCTGCTCACAAGGGTAGAGAATAAAATGTACACGATTCCTGATCACGGCTAGAGCCACTACGCTGCAGAGCTGAAGTCTTATCTATTTCACACGAACACCCCATCAGAGGCAGACATCTCACAGCAAGAAAGACGACCACGTTAACTCTCAGCAAAGATCAGGAAAGAAAAAAGGCCTGTAAAAGGGGGGAGATGACAGGTCTAGGGAAACTGTGGTGCATATGGGTTTTTTTTTAAAAAAGCTCAGTGGCTGAGAACACATTTATTTTATTTATTTAAATTATTTATAGGTAGTCCTTCAGCAAAGCTTCTTGAGAAGCTTACAGGGTTTCTCTGCATGAAGAGGGCAGGATCCAGCACTGTTGACGGAACAGGGGATCCAGTGGGAGGGAAAGGAAGCCGTTCCGCCCTTCCCACTGCAAACCCTCCCCTTTCCAACCTGCTCCAGAGGGCCGGGAAATCCTCCATGGCTAAGTTACAGGCAGTTCCGAGGACTATAGGAGGAAGGGGAACAGAAGGAAACTGCATTGCAATGGAGGAACCATGCCAAGCTGGACGTAGGCTGGGAAGTCTTCAGTTCAGTCCTGGGCGTACATGCTTTCCAAGGGACCATCTCATGGTGCAGGAGGGGAAGAGACCCTCTGCCTGCCTGAGATTTTGGAAGCTGTGGCCAATAAAGCGGATCACACTGGGCCAAATAGATCAACTACCTGAACACCATGTAAATCAGCTTTAACTTTATGCAAATGATCTGCAGAGCAACAGCTCCTCAAATTAAAAAAAAAAAAACACCTGGTCACTTAACAGTAAAAGCATACAGAGAGTCTTACAGCCAAACACTGAAGCCAACATGCCTGTATTGTGTTTTATCAAGAAATCTGGGGTGGGAGAGTTAGGAGAGAGAATTAATCTTCCTGGCTATGGCAAGACACAATAAAATGCACTGCAAACTTTAAGCATGAAAAGGAAAACCTTGGGAAGATGTTTATGACTTCTAAGGAGAACTTGTAACCTTAGAAGGTAGGGAAAAAAGTAATGGCAACATTTCCTTTAAGAAATCTCCCTCCTACTCTGAAGTGCCTACACAATAAAGCCATAAATAATTAAGGAAGGGATGGGGCAGGAGAGAAACCGAAACACTTACACTTTGTGTAGTTCTTCTGCGAGGGCGGAAGCCGAACTCTGAAAGAGAGAAGGCACAGCTGGAAAAATTGTGGTTCTGGAGAGGTCCCCTCTGAATGATCCTCTGGGCATCACCACGCATTGGAAGGCACCGAGAGATAGCACAAGGGTGCCCCTTTCATTGTGAGCGATTGCACTGCCAGAGGGAGATTCAGCTTCCTACAAACCAACCTCTTCATATCAAAAAGCAACCCTGTGGCTCTACCTCCACCTTGCTCTAAACAAGGAGAAACAGATTGTCCATGCACAGTTTAGGATGGAGTTTATTTATGTTCCCCAAGCATTAAGATCTTGGCCTCCCTTTTACCATCCTTTTTCATCACCCCTTTACCACCTTCATTGCCATCTGTTTAATTTATCTTGTTGCTGTGTATTATTTCTTTATCGTGTTTTAATATTGCTGTTTATATTGTTGTTAGCCGCCCAGAGTGGCCTTGTTGCCAGAGGGTGTGGGGTATAAATCCAATAAATAAATAAATGTTTATTTATTAACCCCACCCCCTGTTTTAAGTTGGGATTGTCATTTAGCCGCGCAGAGTGGTAGACTATACCAGATGGGCGGGATATAAATCAAATAAACCAAAGGTTTGCAAACCACTTTCAAACCACTCTTTGAGATCCTGGTTTGGTAGGTACATGCAACCGACCGTCTCTCTCTCTCTCTCTCTGTGTATGTGTGTTGAAAACGATTTGCGTCAGCAAGACTCCAACTCCGACCGTCTCTCTCTCTCTCTCTCTGTGTATGTGTGTTGAAAACGATTTGCGTCAGCAATGCTAGACTCCAACTGAAGTAACTCTAGGTCCAAATCGGCCAAAGGCCAACAACATCTAGTAGTTCTTTCATTTTTAAGTAGCATGGGGTTCTCTGATGATGATGATATCCCTGACAGCCTGCTACCTACAGTATGATCTTCGATCTCCCCGGTAGGCAATTTCTCTAATAAAGTAGAAATATGGAGGAAAACAAAGAGGAGGAAACGAAGGCCGCACTTATAGCTTCCATACCTGGACTGCCATTTGGGAATGGAACTTCTGGAGCTGAGCTTTTAAAGCCTCGTTCTGTTCCATCAGCTCCTTTTGGGGGGGAGACACAGAAAAAGGTCAAGTCAGTGACATTTTTTTTCTTTTATTGCTTCAAGGCGGCATTGTTTACAAAAAAAGCTTAATTAAGCAACCATTTCTTCTCCAGGATATTGAAAAATAGTTAGCCTGAGCAGATCATAAAATATTCCAGCATCATGCTCAACTTATTCATATATTCACATATATATATTCTTTTATATATTCCTTATAAAGGTAGGGTAAGGTAAGGGGCAAATGGGACAGGGGTACCCTCCAAGGGGGTGGAGTTGAACGGATACATTACAGATCCATATTTTTCGTAGAACAGTAGTGCCTCGCTTAGCGACGTTAATCCGTTCCGGAAAAAACGTCGCTAAGCGATTTAATCGCTACGTTATTTTTAAAAGCCCATAGAAACACATTAAAACTTACCAATGAATCAGAGATAAAGGCTCAAATTAGAGGTGACATCAACAAGTTCAAACTGATCCAAGATAGAAGCCATACCTTCACCTGTCTCTGGAACGAGTCTTCAGCCGTGGCTCTCTTTTGTTCTTCGTCCATTAGTTGCATCATCCTTTGCTCCAGCTGTTGTCTCGAGACAATTGTATCGGTAAACTTGCTGTGAAGGCTCTGGATTTCGTTATCTTTGGCCACAAGCTTGTTCTGGATATCTGTCACAAGAAGCCCAAAAGAAAGGAAGACAATTGAGCATCACTGCTCCCTGAACGTCCCAAGGTGCGGATTGTACTCCTGAAAAAGAAACTGCACCAAGCTCTGGCAGAGTTAATTTGTTCCAATACCTCGCCTTCAAAAGTGGTAGCCAGATGCCTCTGGGAAATCCTTAAGCGGGAAGGGGAGGGTTCAACCTATTGCTCCCCACCGACTCTCTGCCTCTTCTCAGTGAATAACATGTATTCCAAGAGGTTTTCCTCTGAGCATGGAGGTTTAAAAACTTGCAGGCCATCATGTCCTTTTGATCTGTGCCCCTGAGTTTGCCACGTTCCAGCTTCACCATTCTAAGCATACTGAAGGTGTAGCATACTGAAGCCACCCCTAAAGACGCCATCCGAGGGACTGATTCTACAGCATACCAATTTTAAATCAGCTTGAGGACATTTGATTACAAAACACCCTTCGCGGCTAGAAAGATGGAGCAGAACGCATCACACGGGCTTCCATGGGCTGTATGTGTGCCTCTGCTCCTTCTTGTATTGCAGGTAAGTGTGTACGGGCCATCAGGCACAGAGACTATGCACACCACCTTCCTGGGAAGTAGGCTACTCTTTATCTTCATGGAGGAGGAAAAGGCTGAGAGAGGGTAACCTGCCCAGAGAAAGCTGCTTATTGAGTTCCTGGATGAGGTGAGATGAGATTCAAGAGAAGTCCCTCTTCCATCCATGGGACCTCCAAGGAGAACTAAAAACAAAAAACAAAACTCCACTCATATTTAAAATCTGGGAAAGCCACCCCAGGCAGCTCCCGAAGGGAAGGCCACCCTCATTCCCAAGCAGTTGCTCTGCGACTCTCTTCTTTTTCTGGCCCCAATTCAAAATGGGTGGTTGCGATCCTAAAAATCATGTGTGTTTTGGGAGCAGGTTGTTGGACACAGTCCCTTTTCTCATATAAAAGTTGTCCACTTATTAAAATAATGCCTGGAAGCCATCATGAGTTCCCAAAGAAAGTTGGGTTGGGAGCAGAAAGCTTGGCCTCGCCCATTCAGGAGCAAATGCGGGAACTCCAGAGGCAAGATTTTACCGCCTGCCTGCTATAATCCCATTTAAGGCTTTTTGTTTAAAAAAGTAATTATTCTGCCTGTTTGTTGTGCTTTATTATGTCTTTTAACACTACTGTATTTTACCTCTGGCTTATTATCTTTATTGTTCTTTTTATGTTGTGCATCCTAACTTCAAGCTGGCTCGATAGCACAGGGATTTGAACTCGAGGCTGGTTTCAGAGAGAAAAGCCAGCCTGTGTACCCGTGTGCAAGCTGCACAGTCCAAGCAAAAGGGACTGGGAAACCACTTCTGAGCGTTCTCTACTGGAACCTCCTGCAAAGAGTTGGTATAAATCAGAATTGACTTGACAGCACATGACGACGAGGATGATTTTAACTTCAACTCCCAGCCTTCCTACTATATCAGCTACATAGGTCAAGATGGGAGTGAAGAGGAAAACCTAATTATTTCACATTATAGAGGACAGGGGATGTGGTGGCACTGTGGGCTAAACCGCAGAAGCCTCTGGGCTGCAAGGTCAGAAGACCAGCCGTCGTAAGATCGAATCCACGCGATGGAGGGAGCTCCGTTGCTTGCCCCTGCTCCTGCTCCTGCCAACCTAGCAGTTCAAAAGCATGTAAATGCGAGTAAATAAATAGGTACCACCTTGGTGGGAAGGTAACAGCATTCCGTGTCTAGTCGCGCTGGCCACATGACCACAGAAATTGTCTTTGGACAAACGCTGGCTCTATGGCTTGGAGATGGGGATGAGCACCGCCCCGTAGAGTCGGACACGACTGGACTAAACGTCAAGTTTACCTTTACCTATAAAGGAGAACTAGACGGACACTGCAGACTATATCTTATGGTAGTTTTACGCTTAGATAAAGATTTTCATTCATTCAAGACGAAAAAATCTCAGTTGTCACTGTTTCTTGCACTGTCTACTGTGGCTCTCCAAGGTATACCTCATCTTTATTCTAAACCATCTTGCAAAGTGGTTGAAATTCTCACTTCAGACACGAAAGGTACTTTTTAATATAGTCTACTGGCATGCATCATGATGCTTCTACAGCTGGTAACCCACTAGAAGGAGAGTGTATAATGTGTACGCCTTGCATGCTGTATCTGATACAGTCCCTCAAAAGAAGCTTGGGGCAGGAAGAAAGGGAGGTTACCATGAATTTATTAGGGCATCAGCAAGAACTAGACGCCCTGCCAGGCATCTGCAAAAGTGTTTCCCACCAGGGCACAGCTGCCTTCAAAGCCAGCTGGAGTGCCCACACAAGGGATCCATAGAGAAACCACTTTAATTCCCACGGACAGAAAAAGACAAAGGATACATGGTGGCGGTATTCTGCAGAGGGGAAGACACACACACACATACACCAAACGCACCTTGCTGGATCGCCTCATGCTCTGCTGTCCTCTTCCTGAGATAGCTCTGCATTTCCTCCCATCTTCGCTCTGCTTCCTGTTGCTGGGCCTTGACGTTTAAAAAAAGAAACCAAAAATCCAACAATATCCATCATTCATCATCTTGTTCCGAATTGTTCCTCAAACACTCTTGAAAAAGTAAAGCATCCCTTCCGCCTTTTCACTGGATTTCAAACCTGTAATCGAAACTCAAGCCCAACATTTCTCAAAGCAGAACCTCCTTGCATTCTCACTTTTGCCTAATGTTTGACAACACTATCCATGCATGGATGTGATACAGAGTCCTGTAAAGAAGGGGAAACACAAACATGACACCAAGAATATCACTTCACAGAATTATGGGGTGCCCAACAGTCCTAAGATTGAGGTCAAAAGTGAAGAATAGGTTTGCACTAGAGATGGGCACAAAGTGCTTCACAGCGCTTTGTATGAACTCGTCAGCTGGACCACTCACTCTGCTTCGCGTGCCCCCGGGATCCTTCTTCTCTGGTGGCACTCCAATCTGGGCAAGTAGTTTGGTCAGCCCATCCCCGCCTCCTCCGGCAGCCAACCACTCATCAGCTGCACTGGGAGAATCTCCATCCCGCCTCCTCACCAGAGTGGATGGCTGCTGGAGGAGGAAGGGCTAGCCAAGCTCCTACCTGGATTGGGGTGATGCTGGTGAAGAAGGACCCCCTGGTGGCATGCGAAGCAGGGTGAGTGGCCTGGCCAACCAGAGGCAGGTAGGAGATGGGCTGGCAGAGCACCTGTGGTGCCATGCTGACAGGTTTGTACAAAGTGCTAAGAAGCGCTTCGTGCCCATCTCTAGTTTGGACTAATAACTGATAAATTAGAAAGATTTTACAGCTAACTCATATCCATATTTGCAGAGAACAATGTTTTGCTGTTACTACCTGAGGCAAGTGCTGGAAGAATTCTAAGAACTACGTCTCTGTGATCCTCAACTGACAGAAGCTCATCAACAGCTCTTTTTAGAGCTGTACAAACGAGTAACCTAAATGTTTTGAATTAAGAAAGCACAAGGGACATATTCACTGAAACACCGTTGTGCTTGGTGGGAACGCAAGAGAGCGGCCTTCTCTGTGCCTGCTCCCAGACCCTGAAACTCCCTCTCAACAGGAGGCCAGGCTGGCCGCATTGTTGCCGACCTCCTGCAAGCAGGCAAAGACCTTTCCAGACAGGCTTTCTTTTAATGACTGCCTGTCTAAGACAGTTTTTTTTCCCAAGGGGACTGATGTATTTTCCTTGTTATTGTTCCAATACTGTTTTTTATCTACTGCTTTTAACATATTGTATCTGTTTAATTCTTTTTTAAATACTGCAATAATGTATTGTTTCAGCTTTTAATATGGTTCCCTTTAATACCGCATTCCGTCCAGGATCCTTTTTAGGAGAAAAGCAGTGTATATCTTAAATATACATATGATAATGGAAGAATTCTTATTGTTTTCTAACAAAGATTTTCTAGCATAGGTTTCCGAGAAAAATAAGCTGAATACAGTAATAAATATGCATCTGAGGTGCAATAGAAAGAGAAGGCGTAAAGCCCAAGAGTACTTGCTTAACAGACTTGGTACTTTCCACTTTGTAGTGTGTGATACTACATTTGGCAGGTTAAACCGCAGAAGCCTCTGTG